CCAATCTAATCAAGAGATAACACAGAGATCTTTTGTATCAGGACTACAACTTATAGATACCTCATGATGTCTTGTGACTGCCAATGAATGAACTACTACATCCAACAGGAAGAGGACGAGTAATTTAATCACACCCTCAGGCCTGAAACACGGGATCTATGCATGACTATCACATGACGTTTGACCATCTGCTTCCTGCCCAGTCTGAAACCCTTACAAACTCCTCTTACAACAAAAGAAACAGAACCTTGCATGATGATTTTAATAGACAATCGTTTAAAACTCATAAGTAGTGAAAACGTATCCACTGTATGTGTTATGCCATATATATATATTTGATGTGTTTATTGAAACCATGATATCTTAATCTTTGCCTTATAATTTTTTTTTTAGTTATTACGATTACTGTGTATGCAAAATACCTGTTGTTTGAGCTTAAATGAAAGCTTGTTTTATTCACAGAACATTGGTGAGAGTGAAAAATTAATATTCGGCATCATTTTCCGGTAATTATATTTTTATAAGAAGTTCTTAAAACTTGCAGAAATACTCCCCACAAACAGCATGTGACTTGTGCATGATAAAGGAACAGTATGGGGCGTGGCTAAGCCCCGCAGCCACTATCTGATTGGAACAACGACTCGTGGGACGGACTTACGCCGCGGATCAAAACCCCACTGCAACACAGATTAATTTGCTTGTGGCTCTCGCTCGCTCTCTCTCTCTCTAGAACTGTGGCTTTCCGCCTTGGTGACTGCCGACAAAGCGCTCCCATGCCGTAACATCGCACAAGTGAGACTCCAGAACTCAAACACTTCAGTTGAAACTCCGCGAATGCCGAACTTCAAAGCCTAAAGCCAAGCAAAAGACTCTCTCAGACAAACTTCTAGGCTCCTCCGTAACCTGGCAACCAACCAATTCAACGAGGGCTCTCCCAAAAGGACGTCATCCTGACGTCACCGCAGTAACCAATCAGCAACGGAATTTCCCTCCAGCAGCCAAACCAGGAACCCCGTTGCAACTCAGCTTTCAGCAAAACGCAAGTAACGAACAAAATCTTCTATCTGCTGAACTGGCGCTGATGATTGATTTAAGCAGTAAACTTAAGACAAACCTCTGCTTTGTGATTCTCTCGGGTTGAATTTAAAACCACTCGTGGAAACGAGTTAGAACTTTGGGAACTTCATACAAACTCCGTGAATTTCATTCTTCAGAACTGTATGTAAATGTGTGTGTGTATGTGTGTGTTTTAGCTTAGTTTTAATGTAATCTAGAATAGCCAATAAAATTTGTGTTTCATTTATAAAGAATCATTGTCTGGTGTCGTATAATTTTAAAGTCAAACCTTGCCAAGATCACGTTACCTCGCTAGGAGCTTACAAATTATCATAATTGTATTGACTTGTGGCCAAGGAAAATACCCATAATCAGATGGTTAAGATACATGAACATTAACATCTTGCTGGACGATCGTTGATGAGGTGTAAACCATTAAAATTTGAAATCAGTTCTAATCAGGTTGACTTCGAATTTTCAGATTCGAGTTCTTTCAAACCCTGAATGAATTAATAATAATTAATTCCATAAAATTAAGTAATCAGAGATATTACAGTACCATCAGTCTCAGTCATCATAAACACTTGTTGTTATTCACAACTGCTTTGTATGTTTGACCCGAATGAGAATCAAGCTTGCATTCTTGCCTCAGGCGTTTGCATCAGCTTAAATCTTTGGCCCATATAAGACAACCTTAAACCATCTTATAAGACCGCTTTCAATAGCCATCGCCATAATCGATAACCGAATGGCTACTCACGGCACATCACGTTCAAACAGCGTCTTAATGAAGTCAGTTCCTTCACTGAATAATCCATTGGTGCAGTACAGCAGCAGACATCCACATCAATTACCAAAAGGTTGTAGCGTGATCCACAGCCACATTCGCATCTTTGCGGAATTTTCAGACTTCAATGTAGCGGCAAATTTGTGATAAGCCACAATTCAGGTAGGGGCGAACAATTGATGCGTGAGTCTGTAGCATAGCTTCTTAATCATGTATTTTTGCAAAACAACAATCCATAAGCTCAACAGTTGAACCATAGCTTCACCACTAAACATTAGCACACACAGCCACATGAACACACGGTCTGAAAATTGCATCCGCTTCCCCTACTCACCCCACCTACTTCCTTACCTACACTAAATACACAATTGCAATAATATAATAAGAGTTTCGATTGAAAATTTCATAACATTCAATGCAAATACTCAAACACAAATAATAATTATCAAACATAAACTTAATTATATTCAAATTAGTAAATAATGAAAATAGAAAAAGAAATGGCTTCAACAGATTTTATATGTCAGTTTGTATTCTATTCGCTGTAGTGTTACAGGTTTAAATTACACAATGTTTACGTACAAAGACACTCAAAGAAAATCATCCATGCATATAAAAAATAACATGCAAAACCTTTTGCTCTTTGTATTTTTTCAGCTCCTTCGTCGCTTACATACTCATTTTGTACTTTCATTTTAAAATTGTGTTCTATGAATATTGTTGGCTCCTACGACAATTTGCTTGTGATTTTCCTCATTTGTAAGTTGCTATAAAATCATCTGCTGAATATTTCATAAGACTGCATGTTTAGGGAGGAATGCATTGTTGTATAAGTATATCTGAAAAAAATTGAATTGAATGCATTAACAAAGCAACACCACTTGAGTGACAGCTATGCATTTGTGTCATGTGATTCCAAACAGAGCTAATAAAAACATGCACTTTCAGGACAGCATGAGTTTACCTGCTTTTATCAAGAGACTTACAACTACACCTTTGTGTAAGAAATTGCACTCGGGGGTACAAAATGGATTGGGTGAGTTTGACTTGTTTAAGTATTACTATAGCCATACTTTCTGATTTATACTCATAACCATTTATATTAGTTTATTTGGCCCCACTTTATACTAAGTGGCCTTAACTACTATGTACTTACATCAAAAAATAAGTACAATGTACTTACTGTGTTCATATTGTATTGCAAAACACTTTTGCTGCTATTGAGGTGGGATACAGGTAAGGGATGGGTCAACTGTGTAATTATAAATGTAATTACATAAATCAATTACAGATGTAATTACATGCAGGTATTTTTAAAATATAAGTACAATGTAAAAACATGTAAGTACACAATAAGTGCATTGTACCAAATTATTAATTTAAATGTAAGTACATAGTTGTTATGGCCACTTAATATAAAGTGGGTCAGTTTATTTTATTGTATTTTATTTTGCTCTTGCTGTATTTTTATTTTCTCTCTCTTTGTATTTTATTGTATTTGATGTAATTGTACAGCACTTTGGTACACTGTGTTTTAAGGTGCTTTATATGTATTTTTTTATACCACATTTAGAATCTTTTTGTAACACTTTATTTGAAGGTGTCCTTGTTACAGTGTAATTATACAAAAACTACATGCACTTACTATATGGTTAGGGCTAGGATTAAGGTTTGGCTTAGGGTTACTTGCATTGTGAGTTTTATGATCACATATAAACCCCTGATGTTGGAAAAATTTAATTTCTAATGAAATTGATTTATATTTTTAAAGACATTAATACTTTTATTCAGTAAGAATGCATTAAATTTATGAAACGCGACTATTTCCACTAAAATATTGTTCAGCACAACTGTTTTCAACATTGATAATAATCAGAAATGTTTCTCGAGCAGCAGATCAGCATATTATACTGATTTCTGAAGATCATGTGACACTGAAGACTGGAGTAATGATGCTGAAAATTCAGCTTTAATCACAAGAATAAATTACAGTTTAACAGATATTCACATAGAAAACAGCTGTTTTAAATTATAATAATATCACAATAATATTGTTTTATTGTGTTTTTAAATAAATGCTGTCTTTATGAGCATAAGATATATTTAAAAACATTAAAAAAACATCTTTCTGAACTTAAACTTGTCAATGGTAATGAAATTCTTCCCTCTGTGTTTGTTATATGATAACTACTGTTATCTTCATTAATGTGGACTGTGCAAAAAATGACAAACCATCTTTGATATACAGTATGGAAAAAAAAAAACTTTTATGAAAAGAAGTCATCTGGAAAGAGGGTCTTTTTATTATTAATTTCCCCCCACTGACATGCCAAAAACTGATGCCATTGCTTACATATTTGCTAATGTTATGTATTATATGTTTATAGGTGGTCTATATGACAGCTACCAAGATGAGTAGAAAAACACTGATAATTGCAGTGTTAAGTTTAGGTCTGTAAGTTACTGAAAATCCAAATTCTTTATATCTCTTATTACTTACATGTGAAAATTGCTCTAAAATTAATGTTACTTTGATTTTTTTATCAACAGTGTTTTGTAGCCCTACTGCCTAAACAACATCAGCACCAACAACAGAATCAACATCAGAATTAACAACACTAACATGAAACACTAGGATCAACAACACCAGCATCAATAACGCCAGCTGAATCTACAACTGCAAATCCACTTACAACTACTGCCTCTTCTACTGAAACAACACCAACAACTGAATCAGCAAACTCACCTACAACTACAGCTCAGCTTACAACTACAGCCCCAGAAACAACAACACAACTTCCATCTACAACTGAACCAACAACCACAACTGTTTTAACATCTACAACTGAACCAACAACCACCACTGTTTTAACATCTACAGCAGAACCAACAACCACAACTGTTTTAACATCTACAACAGAACCAACAACCACAACTGTTTTAACATCTACAACTGAACCAACAACCACCACTGTTTTAACATCTACAGCAGAACCAACAACCACAACTGTTTTAACATCTACAGCAGAACCAACAACCACAACTGTTTTAACATCTACAACTGAACCAACAACCACAACTGTTTTAACATCTACAACTGAACCAACAACCACAACTGTTTTAACATCTACAACTGAACCAACAACCACAACTGTTTTAACATCTACAACTGAACCAACAACCACAACTGTTTTAACATCTACAGCAGAACCAACAACCACAACGGTTTTAACATCTACAACAGAACAATCAACTACATCTGAACAAAGCACCACAACACAGACAGCAACAACATCCCTACCTACAACAAGTACAGCTCAATCTACAACCCTGGTTACAACAAACTCACTTACAACTGCAACTTTAATCCCACATACAACAGTTGAACTTACAACCCCAACACAGACTCCAGCAAGCCCAAACACAACCTATACAGTTTTTGTCAGTTTTCATTGATGAATCTTGATTCCAAACTCTCTCCAGTGATGCTGGTGTAAAATTAAGGAGTGTGCCCAAGATCCAAAACAGCATGGATGTTGTATTCGGAGCGGACGCCGTTCCACCCAATAGCACCCAGATAGTGAACACTGTAGTTCAAGCAGCCAGAAACAACACGCTACCCTACCAGACTTTTTCAATTATAATAAATGGAACAGGTGAGTGATTCACTGTGATGACAATCCAGATGTAATGTAACATTTGTGGCTACTTTTTTTCAAATACAACATGCAGAGAGAGAACGCTAAATGTGAACGTGCATGTAGATTTTAAGAGTTTGCAGCGTCTGGACCAATCAGACACACCATTTTTCATTTGATTTAACAAATCAATTATTCATTAGATTAGCAAACATTCACAGACCCCTCACTCAATAAACATACTGGGTGCCAAGTTGTCTGTGAACGAGGCCCAGGACCCTGGTTACCATGGCAACCCTGACACCTTTGCTAGACCAGATAGATTTTACGACCTAATGGCATGTTGAGAGTCCTCCCCCTCTCACTACATTTTCCATAGGAAAGACACAGTGGCCAGAAAAAATTGACTCTTCTCTAATTAATTAATTGGAAAACCTTTCTTTGAATGAACACACCTAAGAATCTGATGTTTCCCTCAGGTGTAGATCTGCTGAATATGCAAATGGTTCCATAACTTCATTCCTTATTTCTCTCCTCTTTACTGCTTAATCTTTAACCCTTTCCTATACCAACTGTATGCGTGTGTGTGTGTATGTGTATGTTAGACTAGTTTAAGTGTTTATGTGTATGTTAGACCAGTTTAAGTGTTTATCTAGTATGTTAGACTAGTTTAAGTGTTTATGTAGTTAATAAAGTCTTAATTGTATCACACTTGACGTTGTTCATTGTTTGCTCATAACTGGAGTCCCTAATCATGCAGATTTATGCTACAAGCTTTGTGTAGAGTTGTACAGTAAGAAAGTTATTTCCCTTAACCAGGAAATTAACGTTCTTAGAATTGACAAACAGTTGACCCTGAGAGGTCAAGTAAATATCTACAGCGGATCTAAATATTTATAATTAATTATAACTAGTTATGATTAATTATTCATATTTCCCTATGAGCTGATTCGCTACAAGTTCAAACTTGAAGTGTTGCAAGTGTACTCTGTTACACTACTTGAGCTATAGGCAAAATCCCAAAAGGTCAGAAAATGATCATTTCTGTCTGTTTTCTTCTCTTTGTAATGCAGCATATTCATCAGGTGAAGTCAGCAGCAGGATCAGTGTGTTGACTGCTTCGTTCCTGGTTGCAGTGTCGCTTCTAGTTCAAAGATTTAACTGACCATAATGACTCATGCCAAGATAACTGATTCAGACGGGTCTGAATCTTGCCTTCAGCTCAAATGAAGCTACTGATGCTACTTAATGAGTAGTAATGAAAGTAATATTTTATATAATCCTATTTTGAAAATTCAAACTAGATCTAAGCTACAATGGATTCCATATCGGTTCTGGATCTGTATGTACCTTAATGTGTTTGCTTCAGAACCCATCATTGTAGAATTATGTTGTTTTTAAAATTTTGGTTAATGGAATATTTATTACCACAACTCTTCCATTTAGTAAGGACATGTTTTTAAAATACGCAAATACAGTAGGTTTTCAAAGTCTAAAGTATGCTGAAATGCTATGCTACAATTGATTCTTCCGAAAATGGATAAAACAAGCAACAGTTTAATTTCAATTGAATTTCATTTTCATTAAAATGATGACCTTAAAATAAGCTATTCTCAGATCATAACTCACTACTTCACTTAGATTAAATGATTACTATGCATATTTAAAATAAACACTATCATGTGCAGACCGTAAGCATTGCATTGGAAAATGTTAAAGGTCTTTTTTTATGCTGGCTGACTCTGGAACAGGCTTTAATGAGTGAAAGGATTAAGTATTTCAATGCTTATGAAACCTGTAAAACAACTCAGAAGAATGACAAATAGCTACAGTATGTGACATCAGAAACTTCTAGGGGAAAAACTCATAGACAAGATCATCTGATAACATTACACATTATCACGAAAACCTGTACTACAACACGCTTCGCAGCTAGTTAGACACACAAATTCATGCACTTGTATCATACCAGTATTTTCAAAATTATTTATTCTCGAAACATTTAGATGTTCTAGTCTCCACTGACATTTCAGGGCAGTCGAAGTTGTCTCTAGGTGCTGATCCACCTTCTGATCTGGATACGGACTGGATCTGGTGGCTACGGTGACATCGGAATAAGAGAGAAACAGACTAATATTAGCATAGATGCCATTCTTCTAACGATGTAGCAAGTACATCGGGTGTTATGGGAAGTGTTCCCGGTTCCGGTTGACCTAATTAATGCAGCCTAACAATCCTTTACCGGATTTGAATTATAGAAATGTGTTAGTGTGTTATGTGTAAACCAGGTTAAAGAGATGGGTCTTTAATCTAGATTTAAACTGACAGACTGTGTCTGCCTCCCGAACAATGTTAGGTAGATTATTCCAGAGTTTGGGCGCTAAATGGGAAAAGGATCTGCCGCCCACAGTTGATTTTGATATTCTAGGTATTATCAAATGGCCAGAGTTTTGAGATCGTGGCAACTATAATGTAATAAGAGCTCACTCAAGTACTGAGGTGCTAAACCTTTCAGGGCTTTATAAGTAATAAGCAAGATTTTAAAATGTATACGACGTTTAATAGGGAGCCAGTGCAGTGTTGATGTCACGAATCCTGTCCATGCACTTCCAGCGCACCACCAGAGATCACCCGCTCACTACTATGGACTCTTGCACCACACTAACTGTTGCACTTCAACCCGGACTACAGTTTCCATCATCCTTTGCACTGATTACACATACACAGCTGAAGGCACTGATTACACACAGCTAAATCTAATCAGACATGCTACATAAGCCATGGACTTCCTCTTTCTCGTGGCCGAGTATTGTAAGCGCATATCGCTACCCTAGTCGCATATAGCTACTTTACAGAGCCAGTTCCCAGTTCTAGTTGACTAAGTCCAGTCTCGTCTAGTTTCCTGTTTGCCTGTTTCCTGATTTTCGCTTGTCCTGGATTATCCCTCTCATCTCGCCCTGTTCGAATACTGTTTGCCCCTCGCCTGGACCATAACCTGTGTTTCGGATTAACCCTTTGGATTACCCAGTTTGGACATTGTTCGCCGGAGATCGACCACGCCTGCTCACTGGACTACTCTTGTGTTTTACCCTCAATATACCTTGCTGCCATTATCTGACCCTTGCTTGTTTTGATTTTGTTCTAGAATAAAAGCTTTGCATATGGATCCGCACGCCTCTCGTCTCGTCAGCTCCGAATAAGATGATAGAACTGGGCTAATATGGTCATACTTCCTGGTTCTAGTAAGAACTCTAGCTGCTGCAGTTTGTTTATTAATTGTGCAGAGCAACCACCCAATAAAGCATGGCAGTATTCTAACCTTAAGGTCATGAACGCATTAATTAACGTTTTGCATTTGACATTGAGAGCATAGGTCGTAATTTAGATATATTTTTAATTAGAAACATGTTTTTCAAGGAAAGATTGCTATCACATAGCATGCCTAGGTTCCTAACTGATGACAAAGAATTTACAGAGCAGCCATCAAATATTAGACAGTGTTCTAGGTCATTACATACAGAGGTTTTTGGTTATCCGATAATTAACACCTCTGTTTTTTCAGAATTTAGCAGTAAGACATTACTAGCCATCCAGTTTTTTTATATCAACTATGCATTCCGTTAATTTTGCAAATTGGTATGTTTCATTGGGTCGCGAACAAATATAGAGCTGAGTATCATCAGCATAACAGTGAAAGCTAACACCATGTCTCCTGATGATATCTCCCAGGGGTAACATGTAAAACGTGAAAAGTAAGGGTCCTAGTACTGAGCCTTGGGGTACTCCATACTGCACTCGTGATCGATATGATACCTCTTCATTCACTGCCACAAATTGATGCCAGTCAGATAAGTATGATTTGAACCATGCTAATGGACTTCCTCTAATGCCAACATAATTTTCTAGTCTTTTCAAAAGAATGTTGTGGTCGATAGTGTCAAACGCGGTGCTAAGATCCAGTTGCACTAATAGAGAGATACAACCACTATCAGATGATAAGAGCAGGTCATTGTAACTTTAATGAGAGCAGTCTCAGTACTATGATAAGGTCTAAATCCTCACTGGAAATCCTCACAGATACCTTTTTCTCTAATAAGGAACATAATTGTTGTGATACTACATTTTCTAGTATATTTGACAGAAAAGGGAGATTCGAGATCTGTCTGTAATTAATTAATTCTTTGGGATTTTTGGGAAGTTGTGTTTTTTTAATGAGAGGCTTAATAACAGCTAGTTTGAAGGTTTTTGGGACATATCCTAATGACAATGACGAGTTAAAGGGAGGCATGACGAAGCAGATATCGTCCTCTTTTGGAAGGCCAAACAAAATAGTTTCGCTTTCACAACGAATCACACAGTGCCTTCACGACATGGCGGCGGCAACAACAATACTACAGCAAGAATAAAAGTTCCGCCTTCTTTCTTTGCATGAACATTTGGGTGGCGTTATGCAAATCTTCCCACATAGTGACGTAGGTATGTGGGGGCGTGTTAGAACGAGCCGTTTTAGGTAGGTGTGGCTGACTCTTAACTTTTATAAAGAATATCTCTTTGGATTTGAGACTTTAGTCTTTGTAACTTTACAGATCTTCTTTATGCACCAAGAGCTTGTAACACTCCAAAGAGAAAGGAAAAATTTAAATCGCATCATATGATCCCTTTAATAATATTCAGAAGAGGATCTATGACTTCTGAAAGCACCTCTT